CTGGTCACAGACCGGGCCACGGGGGCGTTGACCCCCGGAACTCTCTCCAGGTAAACTCCAGGTAATTGCCCTAGACATACATTCATTGCCCACTCCCTTTCTAAGCAAGATGCTACATATGATTAGGATCCCTCCCTTAGACCTGACTACTTCTATGGCTGACCTGTACTTATCCAGTAACTCCTGTCCCCTGCCCTTCCCAATGTCATTACCTCCAGCACTAAAAACAGATAATGGGCTTGTTCCCATTACCTGACATAATATTATCCAACCTGCTGACTATGTCACCAACACCAGCTCCTGGAAGTCACACCCTATGTCTGACCTTCCTATCTCTGTTACAAAAAGCACGGTTCATATATCTTACCTGAGAATCTCCTAAAATTAGAATATTCTTACCTTGATTTGCAGGGGAGTCACTGATACCTTTAACCTCACTAACCACTGAAGTACACTCGTCCTGGAGAACCGAGAATCGATTTCCTATCTTCACATCTTCTCCATTAACCCTCCTTATTTTACTTCTTCCTGAACTGTGAACCACTTGCCACTTAAAGCAGCTGCCGCTCTCACTGCTGATGACCATTTCCTCCTTACCAGCTCCATCCATCTCACACTCGCTCCCAACCTCATCTAGGCGAAGCTTCAGCCTCCTATTTTCCTCCTGAAGAAGTAGAACCTCTTTCTTCAACACTTGAACCTGAGATTCTAAAACACTACAATAAGCCATGGAGCTCGGTAATACCCCACACTAACTCCCAGAGTTTCTACTTCTGTCAAATCGAATACAGGGGACATTCAAGATGTATACCTTGAAATACCTCTGATGAATTCCAGGTTCGTCTGGTGCTTTCCTGATCAGCCAGGCTGCTGCTTTTGGTGGCCTGCTGACCCATATATCCATCACAGCCTGGTTGATCTGGCACCTAGTAAAGATACTTGTTCAGTTTCCACTTGAAGACTTTTACACTTATCCCAGCAGTGTTTCTGATATCTTCTGGTAAGATCTTAAATAGTCTGGGGCCATGGACCTTGATACAGTATTCCTTTGTTGTGCCCAATGCACACCTGCTTTTAACTTATTTTATTTTGAACTTCCTCCTATGTCTCTCACTCAATTATGTTATGACAGTGTGCAGATTTGGGACAAGGCCCTCAAGTATTGTCCAGGTAGATATTATCATATCTCTCTCTCTTCCACTCCAGTGAATACATATTTAAGATCTAAAGGCATTCCCAGTAATTTAAATGTGTTACTGACTCTATGTGGTCCATAAACAATCTCTGTATCTGTTCCAGTAAATATAAAATTTTCAAAAGTGGTGGTGTGTTGCCAGAACTTCATTTGGTGATCATTCTAACTGCAGCTATTTTAGGTGATTTGTTGTTGTACATTTCCAGGCACAGATACTATAAGTAGAAATAGACTAAAGAGTAAAGAGTGAGTAATGATGTTTGAGGTGAATACAGTTGACCCTCGGTTATTGGCCATTCCACTTATTGGCCAGTTTTTCAGCTTCCAGTTATCAGCCATTATCTTGCTTATCAGCCATTATTTTGCCAGCCACTCGCACGTCAGTCTGGCTTTGTCTCTGGGCTAGTGAAGAAGCTTCTGCTCATTCATCCTAACATTTGGCTGTAATCAATTGTTTTTCGTGGTTAGCAACTGCGAAATAAAAAACCGTGGCCCAAAAGAAAGTTCCTAGTAAAGTTCCTTTGGTAACAAAAGTGGGAAACACAATGGAATTTAACCCTTTCAGGGTTTTTGACGTATTAATACGTCTGACATGCCAGGGATATTGACGTACTAGTACGCATAAATTCTAGCGTCCTCAAATCTAGCAGGAAAATGCCGGTAGATATGAGAGAATGGGTCTCCGTGGTCAGTGTGCGTGGTACAAAATAAATCAGGGACCCAGTGGTGCATTGTGGGAAAGCCATTTTATTACACCTTGTTCACCATGTTTAGAGCTAAGAAACTCCTCACTCCTTGGCTAATTGGGGCTCTTTTGTTTCCAAGTAGCAGTTCAAACACAGATGGAAGTGTCAGTGAAGATAAATTTCACGGTTTTGAGGAATTTGTGACAGAAAGTAATGCCCAGGAAACCAGAAGGAAGAAAGGAAGGAAGGAAGAAAGGAAGAAAGGAAGGAAGGAAGGAAGGAAGGAAGGAAGGAAGGAAAGAAGGAAGGTAGGAAGAAAGGGAGGAAGGAAGAGATGAGAGGAAGGAAGGTAGGAAGGAAGAAAGGAAGAGATGAGAGGAAGGAAGGAAGGAAGGAAGGAGACCATCAACCTAGGATAATCCAAAAAATTCAGACAGTGACTTATTTCCATGTGAGTTGGTGGGTGGAGAGGAAGGGATGGGTGTTGACAGGCAGTGAGGGTGGTGAGTGATGGTGTAATCTGTAAGTGTGACACTAATTATGCCAGTGACTCAGCATATTTACAAGTCCACCCTCACACAACAACTATAAGCTTACAGAAGCTGTAGCAGTTCTAGGAAGTGTCCAATGACTTTACATGTGTATATATATATGTTAGAAAAATAATAATAAACAACATTTTTTATTGTTGGTTTGTGTCAACACATTTTGTAAACAATATAATGACAATGTTTGTGAGGTTATTGTGTAGCATAAAACTAGTGAATATACATTCAATATATCTTATATTGGTCTCACAGGCCATAAAAGTTACTTGAAGGAAGAAAAAAAAGGAAGGAAGAAAGAAGTAAGGAAGAAAGGAAGGAAGGAGGGAGGGTAGGTAGGAAGGAGGGAAGGAAGGTAGGAAGGAGGGAAGGTAGGTAGGAAGGAGGGAAGGTAGGTAGGAAGAAGGGAAGGTAGATAGGTAGGAAGAGATGAGAGGAAGGAATGAAGGAAGGTAGGTTTGTGGGGAGGAAGGGATGTGTTGTGGAAGGCAGTGAGTGTTAGTGAGTGGTGGTATGATGCATCTTTGTGACACAAGACACACCAGTGACTCAGCATATTTACATGTCCACCCCCCACACAACTACAAGCTTTCAAAACCTCTTGCAGTTCTAGGAACCTGTCCAGTGACTCTATATGTGTATATATAGGATAGAAAAATAGTAATAAACATTTATTATTGTTGGTTTGTGTAAACATGTTTTGTAAACAATATACAATGACAGAAAAGTTTGTGCAGTTATTGTGTAGTATACAATGAGTGAATATATACCAAATAGTCTTTACATTGGTCTCACAGGCCATAAAAGTTACTTGAAAAAATAAAATATTAAAAAATAAAAGAAAAAAGTAGAAAAAAACAAAATAAACTATTACCGGGTGACCAGTGACCGGCAGTCGGCGATGTTGCCTTAGGTGGTTCAATTTCTGTCAACTTCACGCCTCCATATCTCGGTAAGTATTGATTGCAAAAAATTTAGTTTTTGCCCTATAATACTCACAAAAAACTCAATTCATAAGAAAAAATAATTTTTTTTATTTCGAATATTTTTCGACCCTGAGTGGGAGTTAAGGATCGAGGGTCTCGACCCTGAAAGGGTTAAGAAAGAAGTTGTTGAAAAGTCTGAGAGTGGTTTTCGAGTGCTAGAACTTGCCAGGATGTATGGGAAAAGCAAATCAACAATTACTTCTATCCTGGCAAAGAAAGAATAAATCGAAAAACAATTAGCAGGAGAGTGTTATGGAGTCAATGATTTGTGAGAAGGCAGGGCAGTTGCATGTGGATCTTGTAAAGAAAATGCCTGGAACAAGTGCTGCTGTTAGAGAATTTAGGGCCAGCAAAGGCTGGTTTGAGAAATTTAAGAAGCATAGTTGCATACACAGTGCGGTAAGGTATGGGAAGGCTGCAAGTTCTGACAAATGTGCGGCTGAAAAATTTGTGTAGAAATTCAAGGGGTATGTAGAGGCTGAAGGATTCCTCTTCCAACAAGAGTTCAATTGTGATGAAACAGGCCTCTTTTGGAAGAAAATGCCTAAGAGGACCTACATTATGCAGAAGGAAAGAGCACTGCAAGGACACAGGCCTATGAAAGACAGGCTTACTCTTTTGTTCTGTGGTAATGCTAGTGGGGATTTCAAAGTGAAGTTTTTACTGGTGTATCACTCTGAAAATCCCAGTGTGTTCAAGAAAAACAATGTCATCAAGAATAGATTGTGTGTGATGTAGAAAGCTAATAATAAGGCATGGGTCACAAGGCACATTTTCAAAGAATGGGTCAATGATGTGTTTGGCCCCAGTGTGAAAAAATAAATCCTAGAAAAGAAATTGCCACTCAAGTGCCTCCTGGTACTGGACAATGCTCTCACTCATCCTCCAGACTTGGAAGACCAATTGTTTAGGGACTTCCGTTTTATAACAGTGAAGTTCTTGCCTCCTAACACCACTCCTCTCGTCCAGCCCATGGACCAGCAGGTCATTTCTAACTTCAAAAAAACTCGAAACAAAAGCAGTGTTTCAAAGGTGCTTTGAAGTGACCTCGGACACTGACTTAACCCTAAGAGAGTTCTGGATGAATCACTTCAATATCCTCCACTGCATAAGCCTTATAGGTAAGGCTTGGCAGGGAGTGGCTTCCAGGACTTAGAACTCTGTCTGGAGAAAAGTGTGGCCAGATTTTGTCCAAGAGAGGGATTTTGAAAGGCTTGGGGATAACCCTGAGAACCCTACACCTGTTGGGGAATCTACTGTGTCTTTGGGTCCATTTACCTGTATTGAACATAAAAATTATAAAAAAAGTCTGATATAACATATGGTATGTCACAAAGATTAAATTTAAGAATATGAAACCTAGCACAATATAGCAAAAACTATGCCAAGTAAAAGCACTACAGTAAATAAGAATATAGTAAACTGAAAAGATTTCGGAAATGTACACTTTGGTATGACTAATATTTTTTCCAAAATTGTATTTAAAATGGGAAATTACTGTAGGAAATGAGGCAGTAGAGATAAAAGACCAGATGCATAGAATTAAATTAACCCTGAGTGACTCAAGTACCCAGCACCAGTTACTTACTGAGGCTCACGAGGAATTGGAGTGGTAGTCAGGCTTTCTGTGCGATTGGTACTCAGTGGAACAATAGCATTGCTATTATCAGCATTACTTGTAGTACTAACAGCAAATGAAGCACCAGTTAAGTTGCATAAGATTGGCTGACCCATAAAAGTAGCCTGAGAAAAAGTGTGGAGAAATTAGTTTTGAAATACTACATATATGCAAAATAAGTAATACATATTTTATGAAAAAGAGGATAAATAAATATACAAGGTATGGTATAGCACGTAATGAAAGTAGTTTATTAGATTATGTAATGGTGGATAAAAGGTTGATGGGTAGACTCCAGGATGTACACATTTCTAGAGGGGCAACTGATATATCAGATCATTATTTACTTGTACCTACAGTTAGAGTAAGAGGTAGATGGGACAAGAGGAAAATGACAACAACATGTAAGAGGGAGGTGAAAGTGTATAAACTAAGGGTGGAGGAAATTCGGGTTAGATATAAGCAACTATTGGCAGAAAGGTAGGCTGGTGCAAGTATGAGTAGTGGGGGGAGGGGTTGAAGAGGGTTGGAATAGTGTTAAAAATGCAGTATTAGAATGTGGGGCAGAAGTTTGTGGTTATAGGAGGGTGGGTGCAGGAGGAAAGAGGAGTGATTGGTGGAATGATGAAGTAAATGGTGTGATAAAAGAGAAAAAGGTAGCTTGTGAGAGGTCTTTACAAAGCAGAAGTGTTATACAAAGAGTAGAGTATATGGAAAGTAAAAGAAAGGTGAAGAGAGTGGTGAGAGAGTGCAAAAGGAGATCAGATGATAGAGTGGGAGAGGAACTGTCAAGAAATTTTAATGAAATAAGAAAAAATTTTGGAGCAAGTTAAACAAGTTAAGAAAGCCTAGGGAACGAATGGATATGTCAGTTAAAAACAGAGTAGGGGAGATAGTAGATGGGGAGATGGAGGTATTGGGTAGATGACGAGAATATGTTGAGGAACTTTTAAATGTCAACGAAGAAAGGGAGGCAGTAATTTCATGCACTGGCCAGGGAGGTGTGTGAGGCATTACGTAGAATGAAAGGGGGTAAAGCAGCTGGAACTGATGGGATCATGACAGAAATATTAAAAGCAGGGGGACATTTAGTGTTGGAATGGTTGGTATTTTTGTTTAAGAAATGTATGAAAGAGGGGAAGGTACCTAGGGATTGGCAGAGAGCATGTATAGTCCCTTTATATAAAGGGAAGGGGGACAAAAGAGATTGTAAAAATTATAGAGGAATAAGTTTACTGAGTATACCAGGAAAAGTGTATGGTAGGGTTATTATTGAAAGAATTAGAGGTAAGACAGAATGTAGGATTGCGGATGAGCAAGGAGGTTTTAGAATGGGTAAGGGATGCGTAGATCAAGTGTTTACATTGAAGCATATATGTGAACAGTATTTAGATAAAGGTAGGGAAGTTTTTATTGCATTTATGGATTTAGACAAGGCATATGATAGAGTGGATAGGGGAGCAATGTGGCAGATGTTACAAGTATATGGAATAGGTGGTAAGTTACTAAATGCTGTAAAGTTTTTATGAGGATAGTGAGGCTCAGGTTAGGGTGTGTAGAAGAGAGGGAGACTACTTCCCAGTAAAAGTAGGTCTAAGACAGGGATGTGTAATGTCACCATGGTTGTTTATAGTTGGGGTTGTAAAAGAAGTAAATGCTAGGGTGTTCAGGAGAGGGGTGGGATTAAATTATGGGGAATCAAACAAAATGGGAATTGACACAGTTACTTTTTTGCTGGTGATACTGTGCTTATGGGAGATTCTAAAGAAAAATTGCAAAGGTTAGTGGACAAGTTAGGGAGTGTGTGTAAAGGTAGAAAATTGAAAGTGAACAAAAAAAAGAGTAAGGTGATGAGGGTATCAAATGATTTTAGATAAAGAAAAATTGGATATCAAATTCGGGAGGAGAAGTATGGAAGAAGTGAATGTTTTCAGATATTTGGGAGTTGACGTGTCAGCGGATGGATTTATGAAGGATGAGGTTAATCATAGAATTGATGAAGGAAAAAAGGTGAGTGGTGCGTTGAGGTATATGTGGAGATAAAAAACATTATCTATAGAGGCAAAGAAGGGAATGTATGAAAGTATAGTAGTACCAACACTCTTATATGGGTGTGAAGCTTGGGTTGTAAATGCTGCAGCAAGGAGGCAGTGGAGATGTCCTGTCTAAGGGCAATGTGTGGTGTAAATATTATGCAGAAAATTCGGAGTGTGGAAATTAGGAGAAGGTGTGGAGTTAATAAAAGTATTAGTCAGAGGGCAGAAGAGGGGTTGTTCAGGTGGTTTGGTCATTTAGAGAGAATGGATCAAAGTAGAATGACATGGAGAGCGTATAAATCTGTAGGGAAAGGAAGGCGGGGCAGTGGTCCTCCTCAAAGAGGTTGGAGGGAGGGGGTAAAGGAGGGTTTGTGGGCGAGGGGCTTGGACTTCCAGCAAGCGTACATGAGCGTGTTAGATAGGAGTGAATGGAGATGAATGGTATTTGGGACCTGACGAGCTGTTGGAGTGTGAGCAGGGTAATATTTAGTGAAGGGATTCAGGGAAACCGGTTATTTTTATATAGCCGGACTTGAGTCCTGGAAATGGGAAGTATGTATGTCTCTCTACCTTTAATTCCACCAGGTATTCAAAGTTCAGGATTGCATTGCATTAAGACTAGTGTCCAGAAGGCTCTCATATTCAATTTCACCTATGTAAAATGTACCTGTGGTAAACACTAGGTCCAGTCTCACTCACTCATCATCTCCTCTCTTCCTTTTCATGCCCCTAACATGCTGACTTAGTTTTCCCTAATCATCTCCATCAACTTAGCCCTCCACATTTCCTGTACCCCATGTGGATCTCAGTTCTACCAATCTATTTCTTTGTTGTTGAAATCTCTCATTATAAGCAGCCTTTCTTTAGCCCTAAATGCCCTTCTGGCTGCTTCTGATTATTATAATGTCAACTATTGCTTGGTTGTTGTCCTTATATTGCTGTCTTGGTCATCTATTATTATTAGGTGGTGGGTTGTATATCACTGCAATTACTACTTAAGAGTCCCCCAGTCTTAACTGAGCACACTATGAAATTATATTACTCCAGAGAGAGAGAGAGAGGGAGATCTGTCATTTCAGCAGAGCCTTCAACACAGGAGGGATGTGGGTGGCTGTTATGGGGCTATAGGACCCAACATGTATTTATAAGTAACAGTTACTCTGGAATACCTAATTATATTGAATTGATGGGTCAAGTCTTTTTCTCAATATAATAGGTTATACTATAGACACACAAACACACAGTTTAAATAAGTAGTTTATGAAGTTGTATTTCTTTTTGTAAAAGTAAAATTAAGGTGTGGTAGAATTGTGGTAACTGGAGAATTGTGCTTGGCAACAGTCTTGTTTTGGTGGGTGTGGGAGGAGCTTAGCTAGGCTCCTCCCTCTCTCTCTCTCTCTCTTCTTTTGTTGACATGGAGGTGGTAGGACCTCTGGGTCCTTTTTTCTATCTTTTTAGGGTATTATGTGTGCTCCAGGGGTGAGCTTTTATAACTTAAGTTGTGGCCACCATACCCAGAGTGAATAAAGTGTGTCAAAACACTGGTTAGCCCAGAGTTAGTCAAGAAGAGAGAAGGGCAAAGTTGCTGAGATGCGCCATGTGAGAGAACAGCTAAGAAGTGTGTAGATTTTTGTTTTGAATATGTGAGGCTGTGATTGTATATTCTGTACATATCTATTTAGAATACAGTTATATTTTTATAGTAGTAGTTTACATAACCTGTGAAGAGGGCTGGTGAAAAGATATCAGACACTCAAGATGATCAGCCATGATGTAAGTATTACCCCTAGACAGATAAGGCCATTAAGTAAAAGCTACCCCACACTAGAACATGTAGCGAGAACCTTACTATCAAAGTAATAAGACATACCAACGTAACATGGGAGCTTGACCGGGAGAGTTATTTGACTGCTAAAATAACTCAAAACATTCTTTGAACTATATGTGCTGGTATGGGGTAATAAAAGTTGCATGTTCCTGGTAGGAGAAGATTTACCAAGGTGGTGTCAGTGGAAGTGTTGTTTTCATATAGTAGTTTACAGGTTGTTTTTCTCCTAAGGTGGGAGAAAGGTTGAGTAACACATTTTTGTTGTGGTTATGGTAAGTTACTCTGTCTGACTTTTTTGGGTTATCCTAGGTTCTCTACACATATGCTGCTATGTATGATAATTCTATGTAACTGTATTTGTGTATACCTGAATAAACTTACTTACTTACTTACATTCAATTTGTGTTATTTTATGTGCCTGTGGGAAAACTTTGTCCACTGATACTGTAAGAGGGAAGCAAGCGTTTAAAGATAAAAACTATGTTAGAAGATGAGTCTTTAAACGTTTTAGGCTTCAGGGAAGAAGGTTATAATTCATCAGTAAACATGCCTGGTAACAGTGAAGATGAGAGATCACCTACTCCAGGTGATATGGAAATGGAGAGAATGAGACTTAAATTAGCAGTATTAGAGGCTCAAATGAACTTAATGAAAGCTAAGGAGGAAGAACGTCAAAGGTTAGGAGGTTCAGAACAAGAACCTGAGCAGTACTTTAACATAACTAAAGCTGCAAATTTTGTCCCTAAGTTTACAGAGTGACCCAGATAGATATTTTTCTTTTTTTGAGAAGACTGCTTTGGAGCAAGGATGGCCCAAACGGAAGTGGGCTACCCTTGTTCGCACACAACTTGTGGGTAAAGGATTCCAGAGAGGGAAAATTTTTCTGATTATGATAAGATTAAAGAGGAAGTATTGCTTGCCTATCAAATGATACCTGAGAAATATAGACAAAAGTTCAGGAATCAAAAATTTCAGGATGGGCAGACCTTAACTGAGTTTGGGAATGAGAAACTGTTCCTTTTTAAGAAATGGGTTTGTTCCAAAGGAGTTAATAAAGACAATAACAAATTAGTAGATCTGATGGTTCATGAGGAATTGTACAATACAATCCCTGTTGACCTCAGAGTATCTGGAGGACAAAAACCCAGATAATCTTTCAGAAGCACTGGATCTAGGTGACCGATTCTTGGCTCGCAGGGAACTGGTAAGTAAAAACAGTCATGCTGCTTCTGAAAATTTCCCCACTCGTTCTAAACGTTATTCCAAGTCCTATGGTCATAAGAGTAAGTGGGACAAGAATTTTCAGGGACAAATGAAGGCTGAGGTGCCCTCTAAAATAGAAGGAAAAGGTAAGTCAGCTGGAGTTCAAAGTTTACCTAGACAATCAGATAATGTTTCAGGTCCTCGAGTAAACAGTACCAGTCCTACACCAAATGGTAAAAATACCTTTAAGAGTTTTATCCGTTACTACTGTAACAAAACTGGACACACAAAAGTTTTGCTGGTCAAGACGGCGAGATCAGGAAAGGGAGGAACCATCCCAGGGGACCCTAACTGCAGAGATACATCCAGTTGCCTGCATTAGGTCTTCAAGGCAAGGTGAGGAGGAACCTTTGGATCTAGACCCCAGGATGTGTATATTTTCTAGTAGGTCCACAGTTGGTTTGCAAAAGGATGTAGGCAGAGTTGAGAACATATTGTCCTTGAAGGATGGATGTAGCACCTACTCTTTGCTACGTGCTGGAGTGCTGCCAGTGTCTAAGGATACCTATACTGGGGTAGATATATTGTTGAAAGGTATTACGGGTTCAACCATAAGGACACCTGGAGTTTACCTGGAGAGAGTTCCGGGGGTCAACACCCCCGCGGCCCGGTCTGTGACCAGGCTTCCTGGTGGATCAGAGCCTGATCAACCAAGCTGTTACTGCTGGCTGCACGCAAACCAACGTACGAGCCACAGCCCGGCTGATCAGGAACCGACTTTAGGTGCTTGTCCAGTGCCAGCTTGAAGACTGCCGGGGGTCTGTTGGTAATCCCCCTTATGTATGCTGGGAGGCAGTTGAACAGTCTCGGGCCCCTGACACTTATTGTATGGTCTCTTAACGTGCTAGTGACACCCCTGCTTTTCATTGGGGGGATGTTGCATCGTCTGCCAAGTCTTTTGCTTTCGTAGTGAGTGATTTTCGTGTGCAAGTTCGGTACTAGTCCCTCTAGGATTTTCCAGGTGTATATAAACATGTATCTCTCCCGCCTGCATTCCAGGGAATACAGGTTCAGGAACCTCAAGCGCTCCCAGTAATTGAGGTGTTTTATCTCCGTTATGCGCGCCGTGAAGGTTCTCTGTACATTTTCTAGGTCAGCAATTTCACCTGCCTTGAAAGGTGCTGTTAGTGTGCAGCAATATTCCAGCCTAGATAGAACAAGTGACCTGAAGAGTGTCATCATGGGTTTGGCATCCCTCGTTTTGAAGGTTCTCATTATCCATCCTGTCATTTTTCTAGCAGATGCGATCGATACAATGTTATGGTCCTTGAAGGTGAGATCCTCTGACATGATCACTCCCAGGTCTTTGACGTTGGTGTTTCGCTCTATTTTGTGGCCAGAATTTGTTTTGTACTCTGATGAAGATTTAATTTCCTCGTGTTTACCATATCTGAGTAATTGAAATTTCTCATCGTTGAATTTCATATTGTTTTCTGCAGCCCACTGAAAGATTTGGTTGATGTCCGCCTGAGGAAATTATAGATCCATCAACCGACTTTTCCTGTTATTCCTTTAGCACACATTTTGTGCGCTATTACGCCATGGTCACACTTGTCGAAGGCTTTTGCAAAGTCTGTATATATTACATCTGCATTCTTTTTGTCTTCTAGTGCATCTAGGACCTTGTCGTAGTGATCCAATAGTTGAGACAGACAGGAGCGACCTGTTCTAAACCCATGTTGCCCTGGGTTGTGTAACTGATGGGTTTGTAGATGGGTGGTAATCTTGCTTCTTAGGACAAATTATGGGTAGAATCTGCATACCAAGTTGGCTATCTCCCTGTAGATATCTCAGATGAAATTCCCTTCGAAGGGGTCGACCTCTTATTAGGGAATAATGCTATGGGCCTGTTAGACAGTGAGGAACAACTAGTTTGGGGGAAACCAAGTCCCAAATGTTGGGAGGAAATGGCTAGGAAAACCCTGCCAGACCTTCTCCCTGATGGTTCCACCATGAGAAGTATGGCTCATGATCATGCTACCAACAGTCTTCATGATATTTCTCATGAGGATGGTGAGGGCTTAAGTTTGGTAACTCTGCTTTCTGATGTTGAACTGCAGTCAACTGAAGAAAAGAATGTTCCAGCCAGAGCTGAGCATGATTGGAGAATGGATCAGTTAGTGTGAGAGAGGCTGCACCTACTAGGGTGCAATTAATTTCTGTGCAGGAAAATGTCGCTGTTGCTGAGGAAGAGATTTTACAGTTAAATAAGTGTTTTCATTTCAGGGAGGAAACTCTTACAAAGAGTTCACCTCTGTTTGCAGTATCGATGGAAGGAGAACAAGGGTTTTGTTCCCAGGTGGTGATGTCCAAGGTTTCCAGGCATTTCTTCTGGTCTCAGCTGTGGGAGACCTATCATGTCTCTCAGTTTATAGGGAGACCTAGTCAAAGTATTAAACCTGTTCCCCTTCAGTCTATTTCAGCACCAGGTGAACCCTTCAGCAAGCTAGTAGTAGATGTACTTGGTCCATTCCCAAGGACCAAACTGGGAAATGATTATTTACTCACAAATATTTGCTCCACTACCAGGTACCTGGAAGCACTCCCTCTGATAAGATAACAGCTCGTGTAGTCTTAAGGGCTTTGATGAAGTTCTTTTTTCATGTTGGTTTTCCTCAAGCAGTGCAAAAAGACCAAGGGCTTAACTTTACCTCAAAGTCTTTTAGAAATGTTTTGAAGGAATTAAAAGTAGAGCCTAACTTTGCAATGGCCTATCACCCTCCATCTCAAGGGGAAATAGAGAAATTACATCAAGCCCTCAAGACAATGATGCAAGCCTATGGTATAGACAATACTAACAACAGGGATGAGAGGGTCCCTTTCTTTGTATTTGCTGAGTGGGGAAGCACTCTGGAATCTCTGAGCTATTGGCTTGGGGAGGATGGTAATGCTCCCCCCTCGGAGCTTTTTCTCAGTTTCAGACACTGTGTTTGTTGTTTTTCGGGTCACCCTGCTTCAGTGGGAGATGGCTGGCAAATTGAAATAAAAAAACACACTATAATTGATTAATACAACACTTATGTTATTTTAATAATTTAAGCATAAGGGTTTTTACATTTTTTATTTAGGATACAGTAGACCGTAATTTAACACAGTAGTTACGTTCCTGAAAACGCAAACAACTTTCTTTTATGTCTCCACATCTTACAAAAATAAAAGTGAATATGTAATTGTAGTTAATTGTCCTGATGTATATGCTGTGTTTACTGCTTAAGATTATAAATGCAACAGAAATAATAATATTTCTTACCTTAAATTGTGGGTGCTGGTGTTTGTGGATAATTGTGGAGTGGATAGTTATACTGTGCCCCTACTGGGCTGAGGTGGATGGTAGAGGTTCTGGTACTGAAGTCAATGCTTGCACTGGAGTGTGCATAAATTCTGTAATGGATTTCTGTTCTATTTTACCCAGCAGTACATTATACAACTGACGGTAAGGCATCAGCTGCTCTAGACACCGTTTCAGGGTCCTCTTCAGTGAAAAAGTCTAACTTTAAGTCAGTCAGATCAATAAGTCACTCAGTAAATCAGTCAAGTCAGTAAGTAAATTAGTCAGTAAATCAGCATAAGTCATCACACATATTTACCTCATTCTTGTGTGCACAAAGTGACGCTTCGTTACGGCTACTGGCTATCTCTTGTCTAATATCTCTATTTTCTTCGTTAATTCCAAGGCTTAAATGCTTATACCCTTGCCATTTTCAGCAACACTTGTATGCCTATTGGGTGCCATGATTGCTTGGCAGATTAAAGATATGGCAATTAAAATACGTATCTAAACAAACACAGCGAGCTCCCTGAGGATCGGCCTACACATGTATGAACTGAACTGAAGGCTGGGAGGGTGATGGGAGTGGCAGAGGGTGGTGGGGGATGGCGGTAGGTGTCGCACGTTGACTCAATAGTGTAATCCACAGCCAATCCCGCAGGTGACCTCGTGCTCAAAATTTTTTCCCCTCCCGCAAACTGAACCGTGTTAAGTTAATTTTATGAAGTGTTGTATAAAATTGTGCCACAATTCTTCAATCGTGCTATAGCCAAATCGTGCCGAATAAATCCGTGTTAAATGACGGTCTACTGTATATCTTATTTCTGCTGCCACGGTACTTACCTTCGGGGCATATATCTTAACAAAGTTCTCATCCTTTGTGAAATTCACTGGAATGTCAATTACAATCTCCACTTGCTCCAGAGGTGTAGGGCCTTTTTTCTCCAGCTGTAATTAATAATCATATTAGAAAAAAATCTCAAAATTTGTCTAGATTTTCAACATAAATTACATTTATAAATGATCATCTACTACTGCAAACAATATTATTTTTCATAAAAGCTTTTGTGTGTTTGGACAAATGTTAATCAATCAAATTGTTCTTGGATTTGCATTCACATAAGTAAATCAATATATTATTTATTCTTGTTAATGTTTTATTTATTTTTATTCTGAAGTGTTGAAATCTTGAGTTTACAATTTCTGTGCATTTGAAAGAGCTAATAACTAAGTATAACATTTCAAATAAAACTAAATTAAAAGCTAAGCAACTTGTAAAAGCATTAACAGACTGGAGTTGTATTAGCTAAGAATATGATGTCAGTGTTAAAAGTATTTAAAAATAATGAATATCAATAGTTAAAAAATATTAAGAAATTACTAATACAGTGGTATCTTGACTTACGAGTTTAATTCGTTCCGTGACCAAGCTTGTAACTCAATTTGCTAATAACAACTCTATGGCTTATTTATCTATCAGACTTTATCTAATATAACATAATAAACACTATAAGTAACATAGAAACCTGATAAATACTCTAGAATGAATAAAATAGGCCATAATATGGCGAGTGTCCAGGACCAGTCCAAGCATATAAAATCATTGCTGCTCTTGCCTATAACATGTTCTTTGGTCCTGGGTAAGAGAAAGCAGAGTTTTTGAGAGGCTAACTGCACTAGATCACTAGTGCAGTGATATACGAATATCTCGGAAGTAAGTTATAGACTTATTTCATGAGTGAGTGTAATTGTGAACCACCAGGTGGTTATCATGTAGTTAGTTGTCGGGGTGTATCAGGGAGACAAGATGTTTTCTAACTGTAGTTCTGAAAGTGATGAATGTGTCTGCAGTTCTCGAGTTTTCAGGTAGGGTGTTCCAGATTTTAGGTCTTTTGAAATACATTGAATTTTTGTAAAGGTTTAGTCGAACACGGGGAAAGTCATAGAGATGTTTGTGTCTGGTGTTATGCCTGTGGAACCTGTCACAACTATCAAGAAAGCATTTTAGGTCAAGGTTAATATTGGAATTTAAGGTCCTGTAGATACAGATTGCACAGCAGTAAGTGTGGATGTTCTGAACATGGAATAAGTTTAGATCTAAGAAGAGTGGGGGGGGGGGGGGTTGCCAGGGATGGGATTTAGTGATTATTCTTACTGCGGCTTTTTGTTGGGTTATTATTGGCTTTAGGTGTGTTGCTGCAGTTGAACCCCAAGCACAGAGAGCATAGGTGAGGTATGGATATATATGTGAATGGTATAGTGTGAGAAGGGCAGTTTGCGGCACGTAGTATTGTATATTGGAGAGGATCCCCACCGTTTTGGATACTTTTTTTGTTATGTTGGATGTGGGTGCTGAAAGTTAGGTTGTTGTTGAGGTATAGGCCAAGGAATTTGCCCTCATTATGTCTGGCAATTAGAGTGTTGTCGATCTTAATGTTAAGTTGTGCAACACCTGCTCTGCTACCAAACATAATATAGTAGGTTTTGCCAGTGTTAAGTGTAAGTTTATTAGTTTATTGACTGTCATCCAAGTCGATATTTTGATCAGCTCCTCATTAACAATGGTGTTGAGGGTGGCAAGATTAGGGTGGGAGATGACGTAAGTCGTGTCGTCAGCAAAGAGAATGGGTTTCAGGTGTTGGGATATATGAGGGATATATGAGGAAGAGCAGGGGTCCAAGGACACTTCCCTGCGGAACTCCAGTATCAAGTGGCCGTATTCATGAGGCTGTGTCTTTAATGGTGACATACTGATACCTATTAGAAAGGTAGGATTTAAAATATGCAAGCGCATGGCCTCTTATACCATAGTGGATACATTATTACAAATGCTTCCTATTATTAAACTTTTGGGCAACAATGAGTATTAATTATAACACTTTTTGGGCAACAATGAGTATTAATTATAACACTATGAATTATAATTCTTATCATTCAGTTAAACTTACACTGAAAAGATGAATGAAAGTCGGAATACTTGTCGTGTTAATCTTATCCTCCTCAAGACGCTCATATAAGACTTGTTCCTCTTTCGATGATCTGAAAAATAGCAACAGTATGTAAGGTTAATATAATTTTATACTGAAGTTATTGAAAAATAATTAGGCAAAATCAGATTAATAGAGGGCTTCAGAACAGGGGTCTTGGCTGCCTCTTTTTTTCATGTCAAGGCTACCAGATACTGTATATGGTACAGTAGTCAGACCCATTAGGCACATAAACATGCAGTACTGCACATGAGTACAGTACTGTTTCCCTCTTTAAAAATATTCAATTTACCAAAGAAACATGAAATGAGCACAAATGACACCATTAAGTAACACCGTTGTAAAACACATACCCACTCTAAAATAATAATAATAATTTTTATTTTCACATGATACATGGTTGTACAAAGGAATATAATAGTTGGGTGCACATGCCAAAACCCCCTTTGTATGCAGAGCATTCCGGGCAAACTTAAAATTAACTTAAGATTAATGAATAAACAATAACAGTACATATGGCCATTAGATGAGTTACAATGAGTACAAGAGAAGTATTTTATTAGGTAATGCTATATGGCTTTAATAATTAAAGTGTAGTAGAGAAGTTCATAAATTAGACACATGTGCAACACTTGGGTATCTTTAATGATGATATGTTTTGCCACACAGTGGCTTCATCAGTCCATACAAAGGAGAATAGTGAAGAACAGGAGTTTGAGGTAATCAGTAGCTTACATACTGTAGGCAGGAGAGGTGCAGCAGAGTAGGAGATATCACATTTGTCCAATGTGGAAATAGGTCATGCTCAAGGGTTAGGCAAGTGAAGAATTCCCTGTATTAAGATCCCAAGATGTTGCTGTGTCAGACAGAAATGTCTGACACCGTTTCGCCACTGTGTGGTGAAACGTTTCCTCATTAAAGATACCCAAGTGTTGCACGTGTCTAATTTATCAACTTGTTGGTTTTCTGAACCCTTCATCTACAAAGAAGTTCAGTATAGAATAATTACAGTTTTGATATACAAATGATGATATACAAATGATGATGAACAAATGGATTTGTCAGTTAAAAATAGGAGAGGAGAGTTATTAAATGGAGAGTTCGAGGTATTGGGAAGATGGAAGGAATATTTTGAGGAATTGTTAAATGTTGATGAAGATAGGGAAGCTGTGATTTCGTGTATAGGGCAAGGAGGAATAACATCTTGTAGGAGTGAGGAAGAGCCAGTTGTGAGTGTGGGGGAAGTTCGTGAGGCAGTAGGTAAAATGAAAGGGGGTAAGGCAGCCGGGATTGATGGGATAAAGATAGAAATGTTAAAAGCAGGTGGGGATATAGTTTTGGAGTGGTTGGTGCAATTATTTAATAAATGTATGGAAGAGGGTAAAGGTACCTAGGGATTGGCAGAGAGCATGCATAGTTCCTTTGTATAAAGGCAAAGGGGATAAAAGAGAGTGCAAAAATTATAGGGGGATAAGTCTGTTGAGTGTACCTGGTAAAGTGTATGGTAGAGTTATAATTGAAAGAATTAAGAGTAACGAGGAGAATAGGATAGCAGATGAACAAGGAGGCTTTAGGAAAGGTAGGGGGTGTGTGGACCAGGTGTTTACAGTGAAACATATAAGTGAACAGTATTTAGATAAGGCTAAAGAGGTCTTTGTGGCATTTATGGATTTGGAAAAGGCGTATGACAGGGTGGATAGGGGGGCAATGTGGCAGATGTTGCAAGTGTATGGTGTAGGAGGTAGGTTACTGAAAGCAGTGAAGAGTTTTTACGAGGATAGTGAGGCTCAAGTTAGAGTATGTAGGAAAGAGGGAAATTTTTTCCCAGTAAAAGTAGGCCTTAGACAAGGATGTGTGATGTCACCGTGGTTGTTTAATATATTTATAGATGGGGTTGTAAGAGAAGTAAATGCGAGGGTCTTGGCAAGAGGCGTGGAGTTAAAAGATAAAGAATCACACACAAAGTGGGAGTTGTCACAGCTGCTCTTTGCTGATGACACTGTGCTCTTGGGAGATTCTGAAGAGAAGTTGCAGAGATTGGTGGATGAATTTGGTAGGGTGTGTAAAAGAAAAAAATTAAAGGTGAATACAGGAAAGAGTAAGGTTATGAGGATAACAAAAAGATTAGGTGATGAAAGATTGAATATCAGATTGGAGGGAGAGAGTATGGAGGAGGTGAACGTATTCAGATATTTGGGAGTGGACGTGTCAGCGGATGGGTCTATGAAAGATGAGGTGAATCAAAAGAATTGATGAGGGAAAAAGAGTGAGTGGTGCACTTAGGAGTCTGTGGAGACAAAGAACTTTGTCCTTGGAGGCAAAGAGGGGAATGTATGAGAGTATAGTTTTACCAACGCTCTTATATGGGTGTGAAGCGTGGGTGATGAATGTTGCAGCGAGGAGAAGGCTGGAGGCAGTGGAGATGTCATGTCTGAGGGCAATGTGTGGTGTGAATATAATGCAGAGAATTCGTAGTTTGGAAGTTAGGAGGAGGTGCGGGATTACCAAAACTGTTGTCCAGAGGGCTGAGGAAGGGTTGTTGAGGTGGTTCGGACATGTAGAGAGAATGGAGCGAAACAGAATGACTTCAAGAGTGTATCAGTCTGTAGTGGAAGGAAGGCGGGGTAGGGGTCGGCCTAGGAAGGGTTGGAGGGAGGGGGTAAAGGAGGTTTTGTGTGCGAGGGGCTTGGACTTCCAGCAGGCATGCGTGAGCGTGTTTGATAGGAGTGAATGGAGACAAATGGTTTTTAATACTTGACGTGCTGTTGGAGTGTGAGCAAAGTAACATTTATGAAGGGATTCAGGGAAACCGGCAGGCCGGACTTGAGTCCTGGAGATGGGAAGTACAGTGCCTGCACTCTGAAGGAGGGGTGTTAATGTTGCAGTTTAAAAACTGTAGTGTAAAGCACCCTTCTGGCAAGACAGTGATGGAGTGAATGATGGTGAAAGTTTTTCTTTTTCGGGCCACCCTGCCTTGGTGGGAATCGGCCGGTGTGATAATAAAAAAAAAATAAATATACATACAGTGGTACCTTGACTTACGAGTGCCCCAACTTACGAGTTTTCTGAGTTATGAGCCATCACTCGATTGATTTTTTGCTTTGAGTTGCAAGCCAAAATCCGAGTTATGAGCAAGCTTCAGATATGCCGCCACTAATTGGTGGCGTATCTGAAGTCAAATCCAACTCTGTACCCAGAGGAATATCAGGTACTTTGTCCTATCCCACATGCTCTTCCAAGACATAAATGGAAGGATAATACTCCCACACTAATCCCTGATTGTAGTGAGGCACCTCGTCCCTTGTTTCCTTTTCGTATAAATCTGGGAAAGAGGTGCCTCCATTTCAAAAACACTAATTAAGGTGGGTGGAGTAGTGATAGTGGTGGGTGTAGTGATGGTGGGTGGAGCAGTCATGGTGGTGGCTGGAGTAGTCATGGTGATGGATGTAGTAGTGATAATGGTGGGTGTAGTAGAGATGGTGGTGGGTGGAGTAGTGAGGGTGGTGGATGGAGTAGTGATAATGGTGGGTGGAGTAGATATGGTGGTGGGCAGAGTAGGGAGGGTGGTGAATGTAGTAGAGATGGTGGTGGGTGGAGTAGTGAAGGTGGTGAGTGGAGTATACAATATTTCTTATTTATAAATTCATTTTTCTTATTTAAAAACCCATAACAAAAAAATTTGAGTGTTTTTTTGGGGGGGTTGGAACGGAATAATGGCATTACAATTAATTTCAATGAAGAAAACTGATTTGATATACAAGCAAACTGAGTTACAAGCTGGGTCACGGAATGAATTAAACTCATTAGTCAAGGTACCACTGTAGTTTATAAAAAATGCAGTATTACAATGTAGAACAAGTTAAAACCATTTACAATATGAAGTATTTATTACAATTTAGTAGATTTCAAAACAATGAGACTGAAACACTTATAAGTTTGCAGTAATAAGTAAATGGTTGAGCAATCATCAGCAATATACAATAATGAAATTGAAACAATTTTATCAAATAGTTATGCAGTCTTAAATTAGATATTAAGTAAAGTGTTTGTCTGGTTAATTTTGGGTGATGAGGTGATTTCTAAATAGGGCCTTAAATTGATTTGTAGGTAGGGGTCCCTTAGTGTGTTTTGGCACATCTCTAATTCAGTGACTCACATTTCCTTTGATTCAGTTGTGTTATTTTTCAAATGAAATTTATTTTTTTGAAAATAGAGTATGAAAGTGTTATTGTGATTAGTCGCCATTTCAAGAATTCAAGTTGTTGAATGTCATCTAAAGTAAAAAAAATAATTGTATCTATAAACTACTAGACTATAACTTAACAATTTTTCCTATACATAAGCATGTATAATGATATATTCAATCTACTGTAACTGAAAATATTTGCTCCTTCAAGAATTTGAGTTCTTGAATTTAATGTCATCTAATGTAAAAGATGTACCTACACACTTACTAGACTATAACCCAAATAATTTTTCTTATAATCATGTACATAATAATATCCTTAATCTATTTACATTTTTTTATTTCAACAGGTCGGCCGTCACCCACCAAGGCAGGGTGACCCAAAAAAAGAAGGAAAATCACCAAAAAGAAAATACTTTCATCATTATTCAACACTTTCACCTCACTCATACATAATCACTGTTTTTGCAGAGGCGCCCAGATACAACAGTTTAGAAGCATATATAAAGATATATGTATAACATATCCCTCCAAACTGCCAATATCCCAAACCCCTCCTTTAAAGTACGTACAAGCATTGTACTTCCCATTTCCAGTACTCAAGTCTGGCTATATAAAAATAACCAGCTTCCCTGAATCCCTTCACTAAATATTACTCTGCTCACACTCCAACAGCTCATCAAGTCCCAAAAACCATTCGTTTCCATTCACTCCTATCTAACACTCTCTGGCATGCTTGCTGGAAGTCCAAACCCCTCGCCAACAAAACCTCCTTTAACCCCTCCCTCCAACCTTTTCGAGGGCGACCCCTACCCCGCCTTCTTTTCCCTACAGATTTATACGCTCCTCATGTCATTCTACTTTGATCCACTCTCTCTAAATGACCAAACCACCTCAACAACCCCTCTTCAGCCCTCTGACTAATACTTTTATTAACACCATACCTTCTCCTAATTTCCACACTCCGAATTTTATGCATAATATTTACACCATACCTTAGACAGGACATCACTGCCTCCAACCACCTCCTTGCTGCAGCACTTACAACCCAAGCTTCACACCCATATAAGAGTGTTGGTACCACTATATTTTCATACATTCCCTTCTTTGCCTCCATTGATAACGATTTTTGTCTCCACATATATCTCAGCGCACCACTCACCTTTTTTCCTTCATCAATTTTATGGTTAACCTCATCCTTCATAAATCCATCTGCTGACATGTCAACTCCCAAATATCTGAAAACATTCACTTCTTCCATACTCCTCTCTAATTTGATATCCAGTATTTCTTTGTCTAAATCATTTGATACCCTCATCACCTTACTCTTCCCTATGTTCACTTTCAACTTTCTACCTTTACACACCCTCCCTAACTCATCCACTAACTTTAGCAACTTTTCCTTAGAATCTCCCATAAGCACAGTATCATCAGCAAAAAGTAACTGTTTCAACTCCCATTCTGTATTTGATTCCCCATAATTTAATCCCACCCCTCTCCTCAACACCCTAGCACCTCTTTTACAACCCCATCTATAAATATATTAAACAACCATGGTGACATTACACATCCCTGTCTAAGACCCACTTTTACAGGGAAGTAATCTCCCTCTCTTCTACACACCCTAACCTGAGCCTCACTATCCTCATAGCATTTAGTAACTATCCTTATAGCATTTAGTAACTTACTACCTATTCCATATACTTGCAACATCTGCCACATTGCTCCCCTATCCACTCTATCATATGCCTTTTCTAAATCCATAAATGCAATGAACACTTCCCTACCTTTATCTAAATACTGTTCACATATATGCTTCAATGTAAACTCTTGATCTACACATCTCCTACCCACTCTAAAGCCTCCTTGCTCATTCGCAATCCTACTCTCTGTCTTACCTCTAATTCTTTCAATGATAACCATACTGTAAACTTTTCCTGGTATACTCAGTAAACTTATTCCCCTATAATTTTTACAATCTCTTTTGTCCCTCTTCCCTTTATATAAAGGAACTATACATGTTCTCTGCCAATCCCTAGGTACCTTCTCCTCTTTTATACATTTATTAAACAAAAATACCAACCACACCAACACTATATCCCCCCCTGCTTTTAACATTTCTGTCATGATCCCATCAGGTCTAGCTGCTTTACCCCCCTTTCATTCTACATATTGCCTCATGCACCTCCCCCACACTCACATCCTGCTCTTCTTCACTCCTAAAAGATGTTATACCTCCCTGGCCAGTGCATGAAATTACTGCCTCCCTTTCTTCATCAACATTTAAAAGTTCCTCAAAATATTCCCACCATCTACCCAATACCTCTAGCGCTCCATCTACTAACTCCCCTACTCTGTTTTTAACTGACAAATCCATTCGTTCTCTAGGCTTTCTTAACTTGTTTAACTCCAAATTTTTTTTTCATCAAAATTTCTTGACAGTGTCACTCCCACTCTATCACCTGCTCTCCTTTTGCACTCTCACCACTCTCTTCACCTTCCTTTTACTCTCTATATACTCTGCTCTTCTTATCACACTTCTGCTTTGTAAAAACCTCTCATAAGCTACCTTTTTCTCTTTTATCAAACCCTTTACTTCATCATTCCACCAATCACTCCTCTTTCCTCCTGCACCCACCCTCCTATAGCCACAAACTTCTGCCCCACATTCTAATACTGCATTTTTAAAACTCTCCTTTTGCATTCTCTTCACCTTTCTTTTACTCTATACTCTGCTCTTCTTATAACGCTTCTGCTTTGTAAAAACTCTCTCATAAGCTACCTTTTTCTCTTTTATCCCACCTTTTACTTCATCATTCCACCAATCACTCCTCTGTGGGAACTTATTCGGTCCTAAGTCCCACAGGGCAGATACATCGTACGAAGATCCCAACATATCATGGATGGAACGGCTGGGTTGGTTGGCCCTTACACCCACCCAAAACACACACACACACACCCAGGTTGGCGAAGGTGGTTGGAAGGTACATTTAACTGATAGATTTACCCTTCGAGGAAGAGATAGGTAGTTTATACTGTTAGTGAACTAATATTAGGACTATTGAGGCAACGGTAGATATTAATAATGTAGACCTAAGACCTTAACGTAGGTAGTAATAGGCCGGTAATGTAGGTTATATTAGCCAGGGAGAACTGGTAGCCCAAGTTTGAATGCTGGGACATGAGGTTTTGAGACCGCAGTGCCTTCTTTGTCGAAACTCCGAACGAGGCACACTGCCGTAACATCAGAGTGGAGCCCCACGTGTCTACTAGGCCCTGGAGAAATCTGGTGGAGGCACCTCGAAGTACCATAGATGACCTCCTCCGTCAGGCCCATACAGTAAAACAAGACCTCCCTTTCTTTCTCAGTATTCTGGCCAGTTTCTGGGAGGAATTTGCGAGTGAGTTGAACTGTGGGTCTTTGTGCAGTCGGATGGCCTATGATTGGTACGTTCCGGTTTCTCCTCGTTAAGCTTAGAAGCCAGTGTCACTTTCTGCATAGTTGTACCTAGGATACACACTCCCTTGGAAACAGGAATTTCTGAGGTGCAGGCAGGTCACTAATACCGACTGAATATTGCAAGAATTAAGGCTCCCAGTTGCATGTGGTTCTGAGGGGAAGTCCAGAGGGGCTAAAGCTTAGGGAGGTTGAAGACCGGGATACATTCTCCAACACCAAGTAAGTTAGTCCTTTATACGTGCATGCAGGCAAAATTTCTTGCAACATCAGTCATTTATGGAAATCTGTAATATAAGTCGCTTGTGAGGCTGAGGTACCGACCTCAGGGCTCGGTGTCAACAGAGCTTGCTAGGTTAGACAACTCACATGGAGGCATTCCAGACAAATTTTCACATCCTCTTTCCTCCTGCACCCACCCTCCTATAGCCACAAACTTCTGCCCCACATTCTAATACTGCATTTTTAAAACTATTCCAACCCTCTACAACCCCCCCCCCCCCCACTACTCATACTTGCACTAGCCCACCTTTCTGCCAATAGTTGCTTATATCTCACCCTAACTTCCTCCTCCCTTAGTTTATACACTTTCACCTCTCTCTTACTTGTTGTTGCCATTTTCCTTTCATCCCATCTTCTTCTTACTCTAACTGTAGCTACAACTAAATAATGATCCAATATATCAATAACCCCTCTATAAATATGTACATCCTGAAGCCTACCCATTAACCCTTTATCCACCAATACATAATCTAAAAACTACTTTCATTATGTGTTATATCATACCTTGTATATTTATTTATCCTCATTTTCATAAAATATGTATTATTTATTACCAAACCTCTTTCTACACATAGTTCAATTAAAGGCTTCCCATTTTCACCCTGGCACCCCAAATTTACCTACTACTCCCTCCACAACATTTTTACCCACTTTAGCATTGAAATCACCAATCACAAGTATTCTCACACTTGGTTCAAAACTCCCCATGCATTCACTCAACATTTCCCAAAATCTCTCTCTCTCTCCTCTACACTTCTCTCTTCTCCAGGTGCATAAATGCTTACTATAACCCACTTTTCACATCCAACCCTTATTTTACTCCACATAATCCTTGAATTAATACATTTATATTCCCTCTTTTCTTGCCATAACTTATCCTTCAACATTATTGCTACTCCTTCTTTAGCTCTAACTCTATTTGAAACCCCTGACCTAATCCCATTTATTTCTCCCCACCAAAACTCTCTGCCTCCTTCAGCTTTGTTTTACTTAAAGCCAGGACATCCAGCTTCTTCTCATTCATAACATCCACAATCATTTCTTTCTTATCATTTGCACAACATCCACGCACATTCAAACATGCCACTTTGATGGATATTTTCTTCTTTTTCTTTTTAATAAGCTATACGGGAAAAGGCGTTACTAGCCCAATGATCCCGGCATTTTAGTTGAGTTTTACAGCACGCATGGCTTACAGAGGAAAGATTCTTATTCCACTTCCCCATGGATTTAAAAGAAAATGTAATAACAAGAACTATTAAGATAAAATCAAAGAAAACTCAGATGAGTGTGTATACATAAACATGTACATGAATGTGTAGTGTGACCTAAGTGTAAGTAGAGGTAGCAAGATGTACCTGAAATCTTGCATGTTTATGAGACAGAAAAAAGACACCAGCAATCCTACCATCATGTAAAACAATTACAAGCTTTCGTTCTACACTCACTTGGCAGGACGGTAGTACCTCCCTGGGTGGATGCTGTCTACTAACCTACTATACATTACTATACTTACATTTACATTTATCAAATACTTGTTTGTGTACATTTAATGACCTTACACACATATACAGTATGTAATGTTTATTTCTCTTGTAGTCTTAAGTTAGTCTTAAACTTGCCCAAGATGCTCTGCATAACCATGGGCAATCAAAAGTCATCCATTTCCGTATAAACATTGTATCATGTGGAAATAAACTTTGATATGGAAAAAAAAAAAGAGAACTATGTTTAAAAAAATTCATCTCACCCGTGTAGTATCAAGCTCGCATGGACTGCAAGCTGGAGTCCCTGCTTGAATATATTATCTTTAGGACGAACTTCTTGTCCCTCCCCTGACACCAGCACGTCCAAAACTGCATCATGAGATTTATCCGTCAGCTGACTTGCGTCTACCTGCACCTCCACTGTGTCCTGCAGATAATTTCTTAGTTTCACAGCTTATTACACCTACAGTAATTTTGTTAAACTAATATTAATTTGTTGTCAATCTGAACAAATCTCTGATTCTAGCTTCTGCAACCATTCTTAAGCAATTTTAACTTAAGATACAGTAAAATTCCCATTTAACAGACTTCAGAAATAAGGAACAAAATCCTCTGTCAATAAATTTTGAAACAACGGGCATAGCTGTTTGGTTGCAGAATAAGCCATTACTGTTAAAAATCACACCAAGTCTTTCTTTATCCATCACAATTGTCATTACTGGCAACCTGTTCCTCCATCCCCAATTAGCCCATTAGGCTTATTGTACTTTGTACAAGTACAGTACCATAATTTTTTTTTCAATGTCCTGGCTATCTCCCACCAAGGCATACCTGGAGAGGGTTTCAGGGGTCAGTGCCCCATGGCCCAGTTTGTGACCAGGCCTCATGGTGGATCAGGCCCTGATCAACCAGGCTGTTACTGTTGGCAGCACACAACCCGATATACAAACCACAGTCCTGCTGGTCAGGTACTGACTTTAGGTGCCTGTCCAGTGCTTTCTTGAAGACAGCCAGGGGTCTATTGGTAATCCCCCTTATGTATGCTGGGAGGCAGCTTTAGAGTCTTGGGCCCCTGACACTTAATGTGTTATCTCTTATCGTGCAAGTGGCACCCCTGTTTTTTATTGGGGAGATGTTGCATCATGTCGAGTCTTTTGCTTTCATACCTGGAAAGAGTTCTGGGATCAGTGCCCCTGCAGCCCGGTCTGTGACCAGGCCTCATGGTGGATCAGGGCCTGATCAACCAGGCTGTTATTGTTGGCCGCACATAATCCAACGTACGAACCACAACCCAACTGGTCAGGTACTGACTTTAGGTGCCTGTCCAGTGCCTGCTTGAAGACACCCAGGGGTCTGTTGGTAATCCCCCTGATGTATGATGGGAGGCAGCTGAACAGTCTTGGGCCCCTGACACTTTTGTGCTTTTCTTATCGTGCTAGTGGCACCTGCTTTTCATTGGGGGGATGTTGCACTGTCTACTGAGTCTTTTGCTTTCGTAGGGAGTGATTTTCCTGTGCAAGCTTGGTACTAGTCACTCTAGGATTCTCCAGGTGTATATAATCACGTATCTCTCCCTTCTGCGTTCTAGGGAGTACAGGTTGAGGAACTTCAAGTGTTCCCAGTAATTGAGGTGTTTTATCACAGTTATGTGTGCCGTGAAGATTCTATGTACACTTTCTAGGTCAGCAATTTCACCTGCCTTAAAAGGTACTGTTAGTGTGCAGCAATATTCCAGCCTACAAAGAACAAGTGACCTGAAGAGTGTCATCAGGGGCTTGGCATCCCTGGTTTTGAAGGTTCTCATTATCCGTCCTATCATTTTACTAGCAGGTGTGATTGATACAATGTTATGGTCTTTAAAGGTGAGATCCTCTGACATGATCACTCCCATGTCTTTTACATTGGTTTTTTGCTCTATTGTGGGTTGGAATTTGTTTTATACTCCAATTTAGAGGGTTTTGGGGGTCAATGCCCCTGCGGCTCGATCTGAGACCAGGCCTCGTGGTGGATCAGGGTCTGATCAACCAGGCTGTTACTGCTGGCCGCATGCAAACTGACATACGAAACACAGCCCAGCTGGTCAGGTACTGACTTCAGATGCCTGTCCAGTGCCTTCTTGAAGACACCCAGGGGTTTATTGGTAATCCCCCCTTATGTTTGCTGGGAGGCAGTTGAACAGTCTTGGACCCCTGACACTTACTGTGTTGTCTCTCAGTGTACTCATGGTGCCCCTGCTTTTCATTGGGGAAATGTTGCATCTCCCTCCAAGTCTTTTGCTTTCATAGGGATTAATTTTTGTGTGCAAGTTTGGTACTAATCCCTCTAGGATTTTCCAAAAGTATATTATCATGTATCTCTCTTGCCTGCATTCCAGGGAATACAAATCAAGGGACTTCAACCATTCCCAGTAATTTAGGTGCCTTATCGTACTTATGTGTGCCATGAAAGTTCTTCATACACTCTCCAAGTTAGGAAGATAAAATAAGATAGAATTTTCTTCGGATTTTTAACCCCGGAGGGTTAGCCACCTAGGATAACCCAAGAAAGTCAGTGCGTCATCGAGGACTGTCTAACTTATTTCTATTTGGGTCCTCAATCTTGTCCCCCGGGATGCGACCCACACCAGTTGACTAACACCCAGGTGCCTATTTGCTGCTAGGCGAACAGGACAACAGGTGTAAGGAAATGCGTTGAAATGTTTCCACCTGCTTGCCTTAAAGGGGGCAGTTAGTGTACAGCAGTACTCCAGCCTAGATAGAACAAGCGATTTAACCCTTAAACTGTCCAAGCAGATCTACGTTCACATGTGTAGTGCTCCAAAAATGGATCTACCTGGAGTTTACCTGGAGAGAGTTCCGGGGGTCAACGCCCCCGCAGCCCGGTCTGTGACCAGGCCTCCTAGTGGATCAGAGCCTGATCAACCAGGCTGTTGCTGCTGGCTGCACGCAAACCAACGTACGAGCCACAGCCCGGCTGGTCAGGAACCGACTTTAGGTGCTTGTCCAGTGCCAGCTTGAAGACTGCCAAGGGTCTGTTGGTAATCCCCCTTATGTATGTTGGGAGGCAGCTGAACAGTCTCGGGCCCCTGACACTTATTGTATGGTCTCTTAACGTGCTAGTGACACCCCTGCTTTTCATTGGGGGGATGTTGCATCGTCTGCCAAGTCTTTCGCTTTCTACGTTTTTTTTTTTACATATTTTCAAATATAACAAAAAAAAAAAGTAGAACTAAGTTTTTTTACACGTTTTCAAATGTAAAAAACAAAAAAAAAAAGATCTACTTTTTTACATACTTTCAAATGTTGAAAAAATGTAGATCTATGTTTGGACAGTTTAAGGGTTAAAAGGAATCATCATGGGCTTGGCATCCTTAGTTTTGAAGATTCTCATTATCCATCCTATCATTTTCCTAGCAGATACGGTAGATACGATGTGGTCTTTGAAGGCAAGATCCTTCGACATTATCACTCCCAGGGCCTTCACATTACTTTTTTGCTGCTCTATTGTATGGTTAGAATTTGTTGTATACTCTGATACAGTTCTAATTTCCTCAAGTTTTCCATATCTGAGTACTAGCTGAAATTTCTCTTAATTGAACTTCACACTGTTTTGAGTGGCCCATTTGAAGGTTTGGTTGATGTCCGCTTGGAGTCTTTCAGTGTCTTTGATGGAGGACACTGTCATGGCAATTCAGGTGTCATCCGCACAGGAAGATACAGAGCTATGGCTTACATCTATGTCTATGTCAGATATGAGGATAAGAAATAGGATGGGAGCATGTACTGTGCCTTGTGGAACAGAGCTTTTCACCGTATCTAACTCAGACTTTACTCTGTTTACTATTATTCTTTGTGTTCTATTTGTCAGGAAGTTATTGATCCATCAACCAACTTTTCCTGTTATTCCTTTATCACACATTTTGTGCACTATTACACTGTGGTCACACTAGTCGAAGGCTTTTTGCAAAGTCTGTGTATACTACATCTGCATTTTGTTTATCCTCTACAACATCCAGGACCTTGTTATAGTGGTCCAGTAGCTGGGACAGGTAGGAATGACCTGCTCTAAACCCATGTTGCCCTGGGTTGTGTAATTGATGGGTATCTAGGTGGTTGGTGATCTTGCTTCTTAGAACCCTTTCAAAGATTTTTATAACATGGGATGTTAGTGCTATCGGTCTGTAGTTCTTTGCAATTGCTTTACTACCACCTTTGTAGAGTGGGGATATGTCTGTTATTTTTACTGAGTGTGGGATGACCCGAATCCATGCTCCTTCTCCACAGAATGCTGAAGGCACGTGACAGGGGCTTCTTGCAGTTCTTAATGAACACAGAGTTCCATGAGTCCAGGCCTGGGGCAGAGTGCAAGTGGATGTCACTTATTGCCTTTTCTAAGTCTTGTGGTGTTAGGATAATATCAGAGATTTTTGAGATGACCAAATGTTGGGTCTCATTCATAAAGAATTCATTTGGAGTGTCAACCCTTAGTCTGGTTAACGGCTCGCTGAACACTGAGCTGTATTGGGACTTTAGTATCTCACTCATTTCTTGGCTGTCATCTGTGTATGTCCCATCTTGTCTAATCAAAGGCCCAATACTGGATGATGTTTATTTCCTTAGATTTGGCATAAGAGAAGAAGTTTTTTTTTTTCAACTTCCTTAATACAAAACTTGCACATGAAAATCACTCCCTATGAAAGCAATAGACTTGGCAGATGATGCAACATCACCCCAATGAAAAACAGGGGTGCCACTAGCACAATAAGAGACAACACAATAAGTGTCAGGGGTCCAAGATTCTTCAACCGTCTCCCAGCATATATAAGGGGGATTACCAATAGACCCCTGGCTGTCTTCAAGCAAGCACTGGACAAGCACCTAAAGTCAGTACCTGACCAGCCAGGCTGTGGTTTGTACGTTGGTTTGCGTGCGGCCAACAGTAACAGCCTGGTTGATCAGGTCCTGATCTACCATGAGGCCTGGTCATGGACCGGGCTGCAGGGGTATTGATCCCCTGAACCCTTTTCAGGTATACTCCAGGTATGGCTTTTAGTTCTTCCTGCAATTCTTGTCTCTAAGATTCCTTCAGCTTAAGTTCGATATTTGCTATTTCACTGACCAGTGTCTCCCTTCATATTTCAGATATAGTGACCCCCTCTAAGCAGTTCTGTGATTCTTCACCTTAGTCTGTATAGGGAGCGTCTCTCTCTTCCTAGTTTACATCTTCTCTTTCTTCTTCTTAATGGAAAGTGCCCTGAGCAGATTTCAAGAACTACAGTTTATTTTTTCTAGGCAAAGATTCAGATATGCGTTGTTTAGGATATCTTCCCAGCTTGTTTCATTTAGGACATGGTTAACTTGTTCCCATTGTATGTTTTTGTTATTGGAGTTGAAATCTGTGAAGACACCCTCATGACTGATCACATTTTGCTGGTCAGGAGCCCTGTGCATAGATGTCTGTACTTCTTATTATGTTGTGATCTGAGTGTATTGTCTTTGATACTGTTATATTACATATCAGATCATCGTTGTTAGTGAAAACGAGGTCCAGAGTATTTTCTAGTGTTATAGGCTCTAATATTTGCTGGTTTAAGGTGAATTTGGTGCAGTGATTTAATAGCTTGTGTGTGTGTGAATTTTCATCTGAGCTGCCTCCTGGGGTGATCTCTGCTAAAATATTATTGGCTACACTCCCCCATTTTAGGCATCTCAAATTGAAATCTCCCAGTAGCAAGATGTTTGGGGCAGGAGTTGGGAGATTTTCCAGACAGTGATCAATTTTCAAAAGCTGTTCCTGGAATTGCTGGGAAGTTGCATCCGGAGGCTTTTATATAACCACAATGACAAGGTTTTGGTTTTCAATCTTTACCACCAAAACTTCAACTACATCATTTGAGGTGTTTAGTAGTTCTGAGCAAATGAGGAACTCTGTAACATACTAGCCAACTTCCCCTTGTTGCCTGTTTAGTCTTTCACATCTGAATAGGTTATAACCTGGGATCCATATTTTGTTGTCAAAATGATTCTTTATGTGGGTCTCTGTGAAAGCTGCAAACATTGCATTTGATACACAAATAACTCGTACATAGAAGAGAGGAGATTACGATGGCGTTTCGGTCCGACTTGGACTTTGTAAATGGTCCAAGTCGGACCGAAACATCATTGTAATCTCCTCTCTTCTATGAGCGGGTTATTTGTGTATTGCTCCAGTCACGGCATTGTGCCTTTTTTTGTTACTGCATTTGACTCCATAAGCAGTCCCTTGATGTAAGGATTTTTGTTGTTTGTTGATGACCCTGTATGCTTGCAAAGACAAATGTCATTATATTGATGGAATTTAGGGGGGTTTTGTTTGCTGGCTCTAATATCTGTTGTTCAGGAGTGGAGGCCAATGACTGTGCCTCTGCTCCAGAAGTGTTTTCAGTTTGTGTAAGATTTGTCATTTCTTGCCAGTCTTCTTTCCTTCTTGGCACTTAAAAACCTCTCTCTGGAGAGGGTATGGCTCCCCTCTTTTGTTTCCCATAGTCTGACTGGTTTGTGTCTTCTTGTTCCCTTTAGATGCTGTGCCTGGCAGTATACATCATAGCACTTTCTTTCATGGATTGACACGTGACACATTTCGGGGTGAAATAAGTTACAGGAATGGGAGTTACACCCTCCTGTTGTAATGTGGGTGTAGCATTTTTTGGGATGGTCAGAGGTGCATGTCCCACCTGTTTTACCAGATATACCATGCCTGCAGAGACCCAAGGCATAGAATTTGCATAGATTGGAATTTTGTTTGCTAGGATTTTTTTGTGGCTGCATTCGCTTCTGGTGCAGCATTTTTTAGGTCACATATTTTACTAAATGTAAAACAAAAAACTGAAGTTTTTCTTTTTACATTTAATAATTTATACTGGAGTAGGGGGTTATTAGCTCCTTGCTCCCGACATTTTAGTTGCCTCTCATGACATGCACTTCTCCATGGAGATAAAAAGAAATAAGGAAGAAAAAACTGTCAGAAAACAGAAGAAAATTTAGGTCATACTACACATGTACAGTGTACATGCATGTGTAGTGTGACATAAGTATAAGTAGTAGTAGCAAGATAGACCTATTATCTTGCATGTTTATGAGACATAAAAAAAGACACCAGCAATCCTACCATCATGTAAAACAACTACAGGTTTCAGTTTCACACTTGCCTAGTAGGTTGGTAAACAGTGGTTGATGTCTACCAACCTACTGCCTACATACTATAAATATATATTAAAACAAATTTTCAACAGGATTTCATTCTAGTGAACAATTCAAAGCAATGAATCTCTGTCATTGCAATCAGAAACATAACTTATCTTCTGGAGAGACATGTGATTACTGTATAATACTTGAACAAATTTTCATCTACTGAAAAGAATGCTAAACCAAAATATTTCATTTACATGAAAAGTCTGGGAGAAACTAACCTGTTTATCTTTATCAATGGGGTTGGTGAGGCGGCACAAAAGAGACGTGCGATTTCCTCTTGGAAATTCACAATCATGTGATGGAGGCAAGAAAAGTGCAAGAGGTGGAACTACTTTCACAGTCAAATTAGGAAGAAATACTGGCTCTCCCGTATTGGTGATGTTTATTTTTAATACTGGCTTGTTATCATCTCCAATCACTAATTTTTTTCCACTTCTGAGGAAATAACCAACATTACAATAAATACAAATATATATTGTATAGGAAAACTTGTCCAGCTTTTCAAATCCCTTATTCACCCCACCTTCACCATTGTAGTCAAGCATGGAGACCACACCACATCAAGATATCACAAGATTAGTCTTCAACTTACAAATAAGCAGCATTCATGCCCTCCATTTTAAATCCATCATCACACAAAAAAAAACTAAGGTTTCACTCAATTTCTCAGATAATAAAATATTACTAGGCTACACCTGAAAACATCTAACAGCCCAATCCTTCTAACTGGTTTCTATTTTAGCCTACATATAGCATCAACAATAGTTTCATTTACAGTTTTACCAGACATTATTACTAAGCAATTAATACATAATTTAGTATTAATATACATGTATATATGAAACAGATTAGTACTACTGTAAACAAGTTTCCCCTATTTTATTTTATATAAAAGTCATTCCATGCTGACTTGTACAGCTGCCTTTGTGAGTCTAACCTTACCACTGACTACTGAGTTAGTCTAACCAAGAGTACTAAAAGCTGCATGACAATAATAAAATTTGTTTGGATTTTTAACATGGAGGGTTAACCACCTAAGATAACCCAAGAAAGTCAATGTGTCATGAAGGACTGTCCATCTTAATTCTATTGGGGTCCTTCAGTCTTGTCCCCCAGGATACGATTCACGCCAGTCAACTAACACTGGTACGTACATGTACATATTTACTTTGCCTGGGTTAACTATACAGTACCTAAAATCATTTATCAACTTCATTATGAAAGGCAGCTTCAATATTTTTAAAAAATATTAGTCTTCAACCTTGTACAGGAGAGCCTCACTTTATGGCAGTAGCCTGGAACCTAACCTGCCATATAAGCAGGATCCTCCTGTATTTATTATTTAATATTTCATCATTATCATTTATTAATATCTAGACTGTTGTTTTTATCATCATTATTATTTTATATGTCTGTATTTGCTGTACATAATACAGTATAGTATGGAATTTTTGGGTATGACCATTAACCAAATTACAATTCTTCCAAAATGCAATAATATACATACTATCAGGAAATAAATATTCACATATACTACAGTGGTAACCTAGGGATATGAACAGCTCAAAACGTGAACAATTATGTAAGTGCTTTTGTAAGTGTAAGTTCGGGGGTCTGAAACGGATTAATCTAATTTACATTATTCCTTATGGGAACAAATTCATTCGGTATCAGCACTCGAACAGCCTTTTAGAACAAATTAAATTTGTATCCCGAGGTACCACTGTATATAAATTATTATTGTGGTATATACCAAGCAAACAAGCTGAGGATACAACCTTTAACCATTTACATTTTTAACTTCTCTTAAACTTTGCTTTTCCTTCACTCTGATTATTACTTTAGAAATGTGTTTCTGGATTTAACCCTTTCAGGGTTTCCGACGTACTAGTACGTCTTATGCACCAGGGTTATTGACATACTAGTACGTACACGTAAATTCTAGTGCCTTCAAATCTAGCGAGAGAAAGCTTGTAGGCCTATGTATGAAAGAATGGGTCTATGTGGTCAGTGTACACAGGATGAAAAAATCCCACAGCACACAGTGCATAATGAGAAAAAAAAAACTTTGACTATGTTTTTGGTTTAAAACAGCGACTTTGCACTGTATTTTCATATGGTATTTTTGGTTGCATTCTACTTTTCCTGGTCTCATTTTTATAGAATGGAAGACATGTTACAGAAATTGAGATGATTTTGATTGGTTTCACACTGAAAAGTACCTTGAAATTGAGCTCAAATCAGCAGAAATGTTCGATTTTTGCCAAGGTTCAAAAGTAAACAAATCATGCCATGCATTCAATACACGTTAACTGGTGAGTCTAATATTCTTTCACAAGTGTGCTGATATTATTTATACCATTTCTACACTAATGCAGTAGTCTGCATAACAGTAAATCTTCTATTTTTTGTGAGAATAAAAATTCAAGGTAGAAAGCAAAAGAAATGTAAGAGGGGCCTGGGGACGTGAATAATGAACAGGGAAAATGTTATTTTAGTGCCAGGAATGTCTGTCTTGTTTATTCTGGACAATATTAGGAAATTGGCATCTTTTGAAATTTGTGTGAAATTGACAAAATTGCCTATTTCTGACAACCTTATTGGATAGTTAAAATTGGTAAATGGGTTGTTTCTTGTACTCATTCGATAGAAAAAATGGAGTTCTAGCGAAATATGTAGTTATGATTTTTGTCGACTAGTACACTGGAATTGGCCAAAAATAGGGCTCAAAGTGAGCGAAATCGCCGGTGCGTAAACATCGTTGAGACCGCTAACTTTGCAAGAGCATAATTCCATTAGTTTCCATCAAATTTCATACTTTTGGTGCCATTATGATTGGGAAAAGATTCTCTTATCATTGCATAAGAAAAAAATCATTTTTATTTTTCTGAAAAATTTACGACCCTGAGAACAAGTTTAGGAGAAGACCTCTCAACCCTGAAAGGGTTAAATGTTTCACTTGCAGCACTACAATTTTGGTTCACTTTTATTACAATTTGTTTTGACTTCGAGTACTTTTTAATACATGGGTATATAGTACTCATGTCTAGCCTGGGGAACCCACAACACTGAGTGCCTGAATTTCTGCCAGCCAAAAGCAATGCCAGATACACATGGTTACCCATTCAGTTACTGTCTAGACCCAATTCAAATTCAAATTTATTAATTTCTTTGCAAGTAGTACATTGAGATTATGTATTTATAATAATGGATTGCAATGCAAAGAGAGCCTCTATTATGCCTAGGCATTATGGGCTGACTTAATTTATTGGCTTACTGACTACTTAACACTAAAGTAATTTATCATAGCTGTACAGCAGTTCTATTAATTATAAGTGAATCTAATTTACATAAACCAAAGGATATATTCATATACGTATATTCAAAAATGCTTTTTGTGAAATATGATTCAATTATATTCCTGTCGACAATCGACAATAGGCTCAAAAGTAAATACAGTGGACCCCTGACTTACGATCAGCTCCCAACTCAAACAATTATGTAAGTGTATTTTTGTAAGTGCTTTTGTAAGTGTATTTTTGGGGGTCTGATACAGACTAATCTGATTTACAATATTCTTTATGGGAGCAAATTCATTTGGTAATGGCACCCGAACAGCCTTCTGGAACGAATTAATATCGTAAGTCGGGGGTCCACTGTATTGAAATTATATTATGGGAATATTGAGTATTGAGCATTTAGTCTAGGGTGATTAAGTGGCTTTTGAGAAGAGTCTTAAATTGATTTTCAATAAGAATGTGACAGATATCTGACAGCTATAAGAGGAAACATCTTACGACACCTCAGCACAGTGAACGACAGATGGGCATGGAGTGCATAATGAAGCTATGAAACTAGCTTCTTCCAGAAAGCAATAAACATATGGAACAGTCTAGCGACCAAAGATGTCAAAGCAAAAATTTTACAGTAAAATCTTGATTTAACAAAATTTAATTTAGCTGAGTTTGGATTTAACGGACTAAAAACAACTGACAAGAGTTTGTTAAATCCAGAATTGCCCATTACTATTATGGTCTGCTAGGTTAATTGATTTTGGAATTAGTAATGGACACAGTTCATTAAATCCAGAATTATTCATTTGGTGGGTGAACTGATTTAAGATTTAATGAACAAAGTCTGTTAAGTCCAGAATTGTCTGTCATTGTTGTTCTTCTCAGTAAACTGATAAGTTATAGTTTCAATAAAAAATAATCTTACCATTCAGATTTATTGGACAATCAGCTTTAATGGACACCCCCTTACCCCTATTAGTCCATTAAATTCAGACTTCACTGCTGTTCAAAATTCACCTGGAATATTATTTTTTTTTTTATTATCACACTGGCCGATTCCCACCAAGGCAGGGTGGCCAGAAAAAGAAAAACTTTCACCATCATTCACTCCATCACTGTCTTGCCAGAAGGGTGCTTTACACTACAGTTTTTAAACTGCAACATTAACACCCCTCCTTCAGAGTGCAGGCACTGTACTTCCCATCTCCAGGACTCAAGTCTGGCCTGCCGGTTTCCCTGAACCCCTTCATAAATGTTACTTTGCTCACACTCCAACAGCACGTCAAGTATTAAAAACCATTTGTCTCCATTCACTCCTATCAAACACGCTCACGCATGCCTGCTGAAAGTCCAAGCCTCTCGCACACAAAACCTCCTTTACCCCCTCCCTCCAACCTTTCCTAGGCCGACCCTACCCGCCTTCCTTCCACTACAGACTGATACACTTTTGAAGTCACTCTGTTTCGCTCCATTCTCTCTACATGTCCGAACCACCTCAACAACCCTTCCTCAGCCCTCTGGACAACAGTTTTGGTAATCCCAAACTTCCTCCTAACTTCCAAACTACGAATTCTCTGCATTATATTCACACCACACATTGCCCTCAGACATGACACCTCCACTGCCTCCAGCCTTCTCCTCGCTGCAACATTCATCACCCATGCTTCACACCCATATAAGAGCGTTGGTAAAACTATACTCTCATACATTCCCCTTTTTGCCTCCAAGGACAAAGTTCTTTGTTTCCACAGACTCCTAAGTGCACCGCTCACCCTTTTCCCCTCATCAATTCTATGATTCACCTCATCTTTCATAGACCCATCCGCTGACACATCCACTCCCAAATATCTGAATACATTCACCTCCTCCATACTCTCTCCCTCCAATCTGATATCCAATCTTTCATCACCTAATCTTTTTGTTATCCTCATAACCTTACTCTTTCCTGTATTCACTTTTAATTTTCTTCTTTTGCACACCCTACCAAATTCATCCACCAATCTCTGCAACTTCTCTTCAGAATCTCCCAAGAGCACAGTGTCATCAGCAAAGAGCAACTGTGACAACTCCCACTTTATGTGTGATTCTTTATCTTTTAACTCCACGCCTCTTGCCAAGACCCTCACATTTACCTCTCTTACAACCCCATCTATAAATATATTAAACAACCACGGTGACATCACACATCCTTGTCTAAGGCCTACTTTTACTGGGAAATAATTTCCCTCTTTCCTACATACTCTAACTTGAGCCTCACTATCCTCATAAAAACTCTTCACTGCTTTCAGTAACCTACCTCCTATACCATACACCTGCAACATCTGCCACATTGCCCCCCTATCCACCCTATCATATGCCTTTTCCAAATCCATAAATGCCACAAAGACCTCTTTAGCCTTATCTAAATACTGTTCACTATATGTTTCACTGTAAACACCTGGTTCCACACACCCCTACCTTTCCTAAAGCCTCCTTGTTCATCTGCTATCCTATTCTCCATCTTACTCTTAATTCTTTCAATAATAACTCTTCCATACACTTTACCAGGTATACTCAACAGACTTATCCCCCTATAATTTTTGCACTCTCTTCTGTCCCCTTTGCTTTTATACAAAGGAACTACGCATGCTCTCTGCCAATCCCTAGGTACCTTACCCTCTTCCATGCATTTATTAAATAATTGCACCAACCACTCCAAAACTATATCCCCACCTGCTTTTAACATTTCTATCTTTATCCCATCAATCTCGGCTGCCTTACCCCCTTTCATTTTACCTACTGCCTCACGAACTTCCCCCACACTCACAACTGGCTCTTCCTCACTCCTACAAGATGTTATTCCTCCTTGCCCTATACACGAAATCACAGCTTCCCTATCTTCATCAACATTAACAATTCCTCAAAATATTCCCTCCATCTTCCCAATACCTCTAACTCTCCATTTAATAACTCCCTCTCCTATTTTTAACTGACAAATCTATTTGTTCTCTAGGGTTCCTTAACTTGTTAATCTCACTCCAAAACTTTTTCTTATTTTCAACAAAATTTGTTGATAACATCTCACCCACTATCTCATTGCTCTCTTTTTACATTGCTTCACCACTCTCTTAACCTCTCTCTTTTTCTCCATATACTCTTCCCTCCTTGCATCACTTCTATTTTGTAGAAACTTCTCATATGCTAAACTTTTTCTCCCTTACTACTCTCTTTACATCATCATTCCACCAATCGCTCCTCTTCCCTCCCGCACCCACTTTCCTGTAACCACAAACTTCTGCTGAACACTCTAACACTACATTTTTAAACCTACCCCATACCTCTTCGACCCCATTGCCTATGCTCTCATTAGCCCATCTATCCTCCAATAGCTGTTTATATCTTACCCTAACTGCCTCCTCTTTTAGTTTATAAACCTTCACCTCTCTCTTCCCTGATGCTTCTATTCTCCTTGTATCCCATCTACCTTTTCGCTCTCAGTGTAGCTACAACTAGAATGTGATCTGATATATCTGTGGCCCCTCTATAAACATGTACATCCTGAAGTCTACTCAACAGTTTTTTTTCTACCAATACATAATCCAACAAACTACTGTCATTTTGCCCTACATCATATCTTGTATACTTATTTATCCTCTTTTTCTTAAAATATGTATTACCTATAACTAAACCCCTTTCTATACAAAGTTCAATCAAAGGGCTCCCATTATCATTTACACCCGGCACCCCAAACTTACCTACCACACCCTCTCTAAAAGTTTCTCCTACTTTAGCATTCAGGTCCCCTACCACAATTACTCTCTCACTTGGTTCAAAGGCTCCTATACATTCACTTAACATCTCCCAAAATCTCTCTCCTCTGCATTCCTCTCTTCTCCAGGTGCATACACGCTTATTATGACCCACTTTTCGCATCCAACCTTTACTTTAATCCACATAATTCTTGAATTTACACATTCATATTCTCTTTTCTCCCTCCATAACTGATCCTTCAACATTACTGCTACCCCTTCCTTTGCTCTAACTCTTTCAGATACTCCAGATTTAATCCCATATATTTCCCCTCACCGAAACTCCCCTACCCCCTTCAGCTTTGTTTCGCTTAGGGCCAGGACATCCAACTTCTTTTCATTCATAACATCAGCAATCATCTGTTTCTTGTCATCCGCACTACATCCACGCACATTCAAGCATCCCAGTTTTATAAAGCTTTTCTTCTTCTCTTTTTTAGTAAATGTCTACAGGAGAAGGGGTTACTAGCCCATTGCTCTCGGCATTTTAGTCGCCTCATACGACACGCATGGCTTACGGAGGAAAGATTCTTTTCCACTTCCCCATGGAAAACATAGGCAAAAACCAGGGAACAAACTCATTCTTATTTTATAACCTGCAAACACTATGGGTAAATGATATTCATATCTTATTTATAAACACTACAGTATTCATTATAAATGCTCTTTAGGTAACCAAGCATAATCAAGGTATAAAAATGCAAATTACTATACTGTACTAGTCTAATGAGTGTTTTAGGAAAAAAAAAAAAAAAGAGAACTTTAAATGTTTTTACCACAATTTAATAGAAATGCTTATATTGTGCCACTGTGTAGCTTAGCATATTATGGCAACAAAATTGTTGCCACAACACTAATGTTTTTATCAAGTGAACTGCTAAATAAATTATTAGTTTTAACAATAACTCACCTATACTTTAGGAACTCTGTGTATACATGCATATCTACTCGACACGTATCATCTCCATCCACTTCACACCCTGTCACTATGCTTACTCTGGATGTGGTGGTCGATGATAGGTCTGGATCAATCTTGGGTTGTGCTGAGGATATAAAAAAAATTGCAATGGACATCTTGTAAGGATACCAAAATAAGCAATGAAGTTACAGTAGAATTTTACATAACAGAAGGTTATGGTTCCTGAACCTCTTCAAAAGGGGCTCCTTGGCGTGGTGAAGAGGCTCTTCGTCTGAGGAATTAGACCTGTTGGTCTTCTTCCTCAGACCGAACCTAATTACCCCCCATTCTCCCCTCCCCTATCCCATCCTCCCCTTTTTCCATTCCTCCTCCTCCTCCCCACCCCTCCCTTTTGCCCTTCCTCTTTTTGGCCTTTGGGGTTTCTCCCACAGGCGCGCTAGTTCCTAGGTAGGGGACAGGACACCGGGGTCCATCCCATTCCGTTGAGGTTCTTGGCGGTGGCGTAGTTTGCCGTGGAATCTGGATCGCCTGGGGATGTCCCGATCCCTCTCCGGTATCCCAGAGTAGCTTTGGGTGTCTTTCGGGCGACGGGTGTATCTCTGGAAGCCACCTTTCGGATTCCGGGGGTGGTGGCCGAAGGAGGTATGCTTTGTGGCGGATATCCGGCCGCCCTCTCTTTTGTCCACCGAGGTAGCTCGGCAGATGTGAGGTTGCTATCCCGGATTGCTGGTTTACTGGCATGAAGGGTAGGGTATGGCACGGGTTCCATGCTGCATCTGCGCTACTAGCGGTGCTGAGGTCCTCTTGGGCGTGGAGGGAGATTTCCGGCCCTTTCATTCCTCCTGGGAACTATTCCTCCCCACTCCCCCCTTTTTTTTATTCTTTTTTTATTTTTATTTTATTTTCTTCTTTCTTTTTTTTTCTTAAAAACAAAAAGCAAAGGAGTAAACCTAACCAATGAGAAACCCAATCCATGAAAACTCTACCCCCGGGCCCCTTCTTGATACCGCACCCCATTCTGACCCTGCCTTGTGTTTAGACCACTCTTCGGACACTCCTGATGCCCCTGTACCTCTTGCTGGTGCTGTTTCCTCACCCGCTTCAGGTACCGGGGCTTCGACTGACTCCTTCGATTTGTCTGAACTCTGCTCTCCTTTGACTATGCTTCCGGCTTCTCCCTCTACGGTACGGCAATTTTCGAATCGCCCACCCATTTCACGCCGGACCAACTCCGGTCCTACTCCTAAACGCCAACGTCAATCTCCTGATGATGCTCCTTCGTTACCTTCCCATTCTACTCGGAAAAGACCAACACGTCAAGCACTCTTCTCCACGCTCAGTTTCGGACCACACAATGGACTAAATTCTTTACTTTAAGACCGACTTCTTCTTCTGCCTACCTTTCTGACCATAGTATTGGCAAAGCGCTCCTGCGTCATGTTAGTAGAGATATTTCATTTCATGCTCTCAAGAGCGGTACGCGCATTGTCACTGTCCAGAATGCTACCCAAGCTCATGATCTTTCTCTCCTTTCGAATATCGATAGCTACTCCTATCACTATTGAAAAACATCTTTCTCTCAAATCTTGTAGTGGTACTGTCATTCTGCCCCATACCATAGTCCAACAGAATTTCCAGTCATGTGGCAATGACATTCTTGAGCAGCTGGAACTCCAGGATCTCCCAATCCTCAAAGTAGACACTTATGTCCTTCCTGCCCGGGGGCGGAGACGTTACCCTTGCAATGTGGCTCGTTTAACTTTTGACAGCCGAGAACTCCCGTCCTCTGTATATGTCGCGGGACAAGTTCGAAAAGTGATACCTACACCGCAACAATGTAGAAATTGCTGGCATTTTGGTCACCCAACGAAATATTGCAGATCTATGGCCGAATGCCCAGTCTGTGGTGCCGACGACCATTCTAATACATCTTGCAGTCAACCTCCATCTTGCCTTAATTGTAATGAAGCTCACCCTTCGTACTCCCGCCATTGCCAGGTCTACTTAAATGAACGTGAAATCCGTTGCCTCAAAGAGGCAGAAGGTCTCCCTTATGCTATGGCAGTTACTCATCTCCGCCTCCAAGGGAGACTACCCCGTGTTTCTTATTCTCGTGTTTCCAAACATCCCCCCACTTCTGGGGTCCCATCTTCTGCAGCCTCCTCTGTTGTTACCCCTCCCATAGCCACTCCGGCATCTAATCCTTTGCTGTCCTTGGCTCTGACGTCCCGACTTACAACTCAGTCTGTTCTCACATCTTCGCGTCCTTCCTCACAAGCCCCAGTATCGACAAGACCTCGTACGACACCTAATACCAATCGCCCCTCTACTTCTCAGAAGTCCAAAAAATCCACATTGCTCAAATCTTCTTTGCCCCTTCCTTCCCTTCTTCCACCTCCACACTTTACCTTTCCAGTCTCTGTGTACCTAGTTCTTCCCCTCTCTCTGGCTCTATTACAAGTGTGGAGATTCACCCTCCTCCTCGTACTATGCCTTCCACCCCGTCCCCTCCCAAGTTTCTCCCTCTTCTGCCACCTCCCAGGTTTCTGCCTCTTCTGTCCCCCCCCCACACTTCATCTCCAGTCCCTTACATTCTTCCCTCCCCCTCTACTTTGGTACAGTCCATTACTGTCCCAATCTTTACTCACCCTCCTCCTTCTATCTCCAATATGGTCTCCCATCCATCTTTGAATTCAGAAACACTTGAAGCCATTTCAGAATATATTGCAGAGACTAAACCTTCAATGGACACTGATTCACTTCCTGTTCCTCCATCTTCACAACCCCATTCTTCGCAACGCTCCGTTCCTTCGCTGCTTGAACGTCTTCCAATGCCACCACAGTTGACTTTCTAACCCCTCTAGTCCGTAGGTGCCTTTCCCTACGGATTCCTGGTATTTTCTTCATCGCCAATCATGGCCTATTTACAGTGGAATATCCGCGGCCTCAGGGGTAATCGGGGTGAGCTTCAGATGTTGCTTTCCAGGTTTTCCCCTGTTGGTGCTTGCTTACAAGAACCAAAATTACACTCGGCTGTTTTCCAACCTATCTCAGGCATAATTTATTGTATTTCTTCGGATCCTTTCTCAGATGGGACCTTTAATGAAAGTGCCCTCTTCTACGCAATGATATTCCGTACTGTGAACTATCTGTCCATACCTCGCTGCATTACACTGCAGCCCATATCCACTTGAATAAGTGGTTTACAATATGTTCTTTATATCTCTCTCCTTCTCGAGCATTTTCTATCCCAGACTTTGCCTTTCTTGTTTCATCCTTACCACCACCACTTCTGTTACTTGGTGATTTTAAATTTGCCCACCATTTCCTCTGGGGGGGGTCTCATTGTGACTCACGTGGCATCCAGTTGGAGGCTTTTCTCGCCTCTCACCCCTCCATGTTTTTAAATACGGGTACTCCCACCCATTTTGATCCTCGTACTCATACTCTCTCTTGCATCGATCTATCAGTCTGCTCTTCCTCCACTGCACTAGACTTCACCTGGTCTGTTCTACCGGACTTACATGACAGCGATCATTTTCCATCATTTTACTTCTCCTTCCTATTCACCACCTTTCCGTAGCCCTCGCTGGCAATTTGATCAGGCAAATTGGGATCTTTACTCACACCTCACTGCTTTTAGTGAGGTTCCTTCTTCATCCTCCATTGATGAGCTCCTACACCTCTTCTCGACGTCAGTTTATACCGCAGCTTCTCATTCTATACCCCAAACCTCAGGCAGGCATTCTCAGAAGTGCGTGCCTTGGTGGTCTCCTGCTTGTGCTCGTGCAGTACGTTTGAAACGCGCTGCATGGGGCACGTACCGGTACAATAGAACCGCTGAGAGACTTCTTGATTTTAAGCAGAAGCGTGCGATCGCTCGCCGTGTCATCCGTGAAGCTAAACGCACTTGTTGGCGAGACTGTTTCTACCATCACCTCTGCTTCTTCTATGAGTGCAGTCTGGAAAAAAGTGAGGAAATTGAGTGCTAAATACTCTCCTGACCCGGCTCCTGTTCTACGGGTCGCTGGTGTTGATGTAGCAAACCCTCTCGAAGTTGCCATTGAACTTGGCACACATCTGGTCCGTATTTCCCGAGGGCTCCATCTATGCCCCTCGTTTCTTTCCTCAAAGTCTGCCAGAGAGTTAGTACCCTTGGACTTTTCTTCTCTCAGAGAAGAACAGTATAATGTGCCTTTTACACTTCAAGAACTAGAGGCAATGCTCTCAGCTTGCCGATCATCGGCAGCTGGGCCTGACGACATTCATATTCGTATGTTACAACATTTACATCGGTCAGCCCTTGTAGTCCTCTTACACCTCTTCAATCTTATTTGGGCACAAGGAGTTCTTCCCCAGCTGTAGAAATCTGCCATTGTTCTCCCTTTCCGCAAACCGGGTACTACAGGACATGATGCCTCCCACTATCGTCCCATCGCTCTTACTAGTGCAGTTTGCAAAGTGATAGAACGTCTCGTAAATCGATGTTTAATGTGGTATTTAGAGACACACAACAGTCTCTCCGCTAGTCAATATGGCTTTCATAAGGGTCGTTCTACCATAGACCCCTTACTACGCTTGGATACGTATGTTCGTAATGCCTTTGCGAATGATCACTCAGTTATTGCCATATTTTTTGACCTTGAGAAGGCATATGACACAACTTGGAGGTATAATATTTTGGCCCAGGCCCATTCCTTAGGCCTCCGAGGCAATCTACCATCCTTCCTTAAGAACTTTTTAACTGACAGACATTTCCGTGTTCGAGTCAATAATGTTCTTTCCCCGGACTTCGTCCAAGCTGAAGGTGTCCCTCAGGGATGTGTTCTAAGCACAACACTTTTTCTCCTTGCTATAAATGATTTGGCCTCTGTTCTTCCACCCAATATTTGGTCATCACTCTATGTTGATGACTTCACTATTGCTTGTGCAGGCGCTGACTGTCATCTTATTGCAGTTTTCTCTCCAGCATGCGGTCGACCGTGTTTCCACTTGGGTCACCACGCATGGGTTTAAATTTTCAAGTACCAAAACTCACCAAATTACTTTAACTAGACGCTCTGTTATCTCCGATCATCCTTTGTATCTCTATGGCTCCCGTATCCCCGAACGTGATACAGTCAG